ACCTTTCTACAATAGGCTGTTTCTACACTCATTGACATCTCCCTTTCTGCCCTCCATGTAGGCAAGCATGTAGCAGGATCAGAGGTCCAAGGGCACATTATTCCAGCTGGGCAAAAGCTCTGAGGGGGTTTGCAAAGCAGGGCAGATGAGAAGTCTGGCTGGGAAGAGTATGTGGCCTGGGCAGAGTCATGAGGGCCAGAAAGAGAGGGCTACATGGCCACACCCAGTTCTTGGGCCTGAGGTGCCCTACCCCCAGAAAAAATGTAAGGATCTTTTAGTTCTACCCTGCAGGCAACTTCTTATGTATTTACGTTCTTAAGTACAAAGAAGGGTGTTGATTCCTCACCTCAGATGGAGTAACAGCTGCTTGTTATTTGCACTTAAAAATAAATAAAAAATTAACACCTGGGAAGTTCCCAGCATGCATGGTGATTTCTGGATTTACTTCTGTGTGGAGTTCAACTGGGATGTTACTTCTTTGTATATGTCAGGTCTGTGTGTGTGTACCCCAGAGCTATGTGTGGGAATAAGCTGAAATAAATAATGTGTAAATAGCTTTGCTAATTAGCAGAAGTGGCAAACAAACCTGCAAAGCTCTGAAGCTCACAAGCGGGACAGAGCTCTTCCTACTTTTGATTCCCAGCACCTGGTATTCACAGGCATACACCAATTGTTGCAAGCATATAAGGGATACCTGTTGCCCACTCAAAATGTGTCCAAGAATCGACAGACGCAGCAGTGGAGAAAAAGAAGGCAAAGTTTATTGCTGAGCAATAAAGACCCAGTGGAATCGTTTCCAGAGCCTGCGCCCGAAGCCCCTGTACATTGGGTTTTTATACCTGAGTACAATCAGCATAAAACATGACATATTCATATATTGCAGCAAAATCAAATCAGCGAGCGGGCACAAGCTCTTCCTTTGCCCATGTAAAAAATACTTCTGCTTTTCTCAGATGGTGCATCAATTTGCCCTTTCCCCTAATTTTCAGCAATAAAGAGGGAAAAAACCTATTTAACTGTTAAAACCTGAATAACCCCCACCATCTGCTATCGGCTTAGAACATTGCATTGGGGCTGGCTGCTTTTTCCTGTTCCCCAACTCACCCCCCTTTCGTGAGCCCGAGAAGCCGCCTGGAGTAGGTTCCCTATAGAAAAATGCCAACACATCAGATTTATTGTTTCCTTCAAGCACAATAGCAGGGCGGAGAGAGAAATAGGGCAGAGGGCAACTTTTTGAATTTTTTAAAATTTAAGAACTTTTGCTCTGCTGAAGCTTTAGCGATTCAAACATCATTAGGATACATGGATAAAAAAAATCTCCATTAGGATATATGGTTATATATGGATATATGATTATATAGAAATCATAAAGGTAAAATTCTTCCAGGTGGTCTTGTCACACAGTCTTTGGGGGTAAGAGTGCATTTTCACTTTCCCTCCAATGCATCTGATGTGACTAGTGGTGCTGATCAAGGTCATGGGTTCGATCCCCTTACAGTCCTCCCCCATTGCAAGGGGTTGGACTAGATGATCCTTGGGGTTCCTTCCAACTCTACAGTTCTATGATTCTATGAAGTAAATTGTCTGTTCACTGGAAAGCTGAACAACCTCAGAGAACCTTGTCTAGCTCTCTCTAAGTCAGAGGCTATCTTAAAAACAGCAAAAAATTACCATTGGGTCAAGTAGATTATTTGATATAACAGTGACCGTTAAACAGAGAATCTTTGTCTTTCGGTGCTCTCTGGATGTTCTGGGGTGGAGCACATTCCTGTTATTGGGCAGGATCTCCTCCATCAGTCACAGAGCTAGCAGGAAATGATGTTGTGGAGGGCAGGGTTTGCCTCATACAGGCCTTGTATGGCTGTGCTGCTCTCTGAGGTGGTGAACATCCCGTGTGAGTGTCTGAAGGCAGTTGAAGGATGGATGGTAATTAACGGATTGAGGTTGACTCCCAATAAGACAGAAGTACTGTTTTTGGGAGGCAGAGGGTGGACAGGTGTGGGGGACATCCTGGCCCTGAATGAGGTAACTGCCTCTAAAGGACCAGGTGAGACCCTACCTGCCCATGCACTGTCTTGCCAGAGTGGTACGTGCTCTGGCTATCTTCCACTTAGACTCCTGCAATGCACTCTATGTTGGGGCTTTCCAAGGTGACTTGGAAACTCCAACTAATACAGAATGCAGCTGCCAAACTGGTGACAGTGAGCAGCTGCCAGAGCCATGTAGCTCCAGTCCTAAAGGATCTACACTGGCTAACGGTATGTTTCTGAGCACAATTCAAAGTGTTGGTGCTGACCTGTAAAGCCCTAAACAGCCTCAGCCCAGTATACCTAAAGGAGCATCTCCACCCCCATCGTTCTGCCTCGACACTGAGGTCTAGCTCCAAGGGCCTTCTGGCAGTTCCCTCACTGCAAGAAGTGAGGTTACAAGAACTAGGCAGAGGGCCTTCTCGGTAGTGGCACCCGCCCTGTGGAACGCCCTCACACCAGAGAACAACAACTATAAGACTTTTAGAAGACATCTGAAGGCAGCCCTGTATTGGCAAAAATTTTATGCGCCTATGAATACCGTATTTTTCACCCCATAGGGCGCACCGGCCCATAGGACGCACCTAGTTTTTTGGGGGGAAATAAAGAAAAAAAATTATTTCCCTCCCAGGCGCGGGGCTGGAGCGGCGGAAGCCCGAGCTTCCCCCAACCCCAGCCCCCAGAACAGGCAGCTCTCCGCAAGCCTTGGGAGACCGGCGCGACTTCCCGCCAGGCTCCCACGCCTTGCGGATATCTGCCTGAAGCCCAAACCAGGTCGGGGAACAGCGGGATGGCGGCGTTCTGCCTCCCCGCTGTCCCCCGAGCTTGTGGGGCTGGCGGCGGGGAGAAGCACTCTTCTCTCCACCGCCAGCCTCCAAACCAGGTTGGGGAACCGAAGCCCGGGGTGCGCTGTGCAGGCTTCAGCGAAAGCCTGCATTCGCCCCATAGGACGCACACACATTTCCCCTTCATTTTTGGAGGGGGAAAAGTGCGTCCTATAGGGCAAAAAATACGGTAAGTTCTTCCTTTTCTCCATCCTGAATCTTCCAATATTCTGTTTCAGTGGACGGCCTTGCATTCTAGTATTACGGCAGAGGGACAAAAAGCACTTCTCTCTTAACCTTCACCATGCCATTCATACTTTTATAGACTCCTGCCATGTCACCTCTTACTCACATTTCTCTCCTCATAGGAGAGTTGCTCCATCCCTGATTTTACCTAGGAGCACTCCGCTCCTCATAGTGGAACCAGCTTTTGCCCATCACAGGAGTGTGTTTGACTGGTGGTAGTGTGTGGATCATGGCAAGAAATTAGATGGCCAGCATTGAGTGAGCTCCAGTACAGCAAATATTTTTCTAAATAGAATGTTTGTTCTTAAGCAGCAAGGTGATATGTAAAATCAATGAGATGTATGTAACTCTTAAATGCATGATGTAATCCCCCCCCCATGCAATGCAGATGTCCGGAGCCTCCCAAGTGTTTTACAATGTGAAACACCATCAGAGCATTGAAAGTATTTCCATTTTCCATCTCCATTGTATCTGATTAGTTCTGTGGTTGGGTTGGGAGTTGAGTGACATAAACAAGTCACCCAAGCATTAAACCATTAAAGTATTTTAAGGGAAGGCATAAAAATTGATTTTGCTTCATGGCTCCCAGCCCTTAGTGAATGAGACAGGAGTCAGCACAAGATCCCTTATCCATCACCCTCTAATGGGTGAGGATGGAAGCTGGTCCTTAGAACCATAAGGTTGCCGCCAACTATGTGCTGCTCAGGGTTGACCTACTGAAATGTCCCTCGGTGAGTCATGGCCATCAATTCCAGTGGGTCTACTCTGAGTAGGACTAATATTGACTACTGCCCACAGAGATTGAGAGGGACCTTGGAAATAATCTGATCCAGCTAGGAGGCAGATAGAGAAGTCTGGAGGGCTGTTATTCAGCCATCAAGCCTGAGGTTGCTCACCCATGGTGTGGGCACCCATCTGTCTCAAGTGACAATAGAGTGTACCTCCAGGCGTGAGGTCTAAATGCTGCATTAGCAGCACTGAAGCAATATCCGTGGGAGGCAAGCCTGGGCAGTGTGTATGTATGGAGGTCCTGAGCTGCCCAGACAACAAGACACCCCTCTCAACTTCACTGATGTGGTCCCAAGGAAATCAGAGCAATATGTTTGGCACCAGCTTAACTGCAGGAATTGCTGGAAGGAAGTGTACAAGGCCTTAGGGATTCCATGCTGAATTTGTGCAGGGTTTACTCCTTAGCTTTTTCTTCTCCTGAATATGTCCCACAAGGCAGTGGAGGTTTAGTGTTAGAGTTTTCCTTCTCCTAGATAGGCTACCCTCCCATGTTCATGAGCCCCATCTGCCTCTCACTTCCCTCTATAGCATGTACAAAAACTGCCTTCTTGACCACTGGACCGACTATTGCTCCCATCCTCTCAATCTGGGAGAGCCTGGGAAGTCCCCTGGTGTAACAAGTAGTGAAGTGCAGGGCTTTTCTTCAGCTGGAACTCACCAGAACTGAGTTCTGGCACCTGTTTGGTGCATTCCAGCACCTATTTGTTGTGTGCCAGCAGCTGTATAGTGGCAAGGTGCCCAGAGTTGTGTGTCAGAGTCTTTTGGCTGCATGCCGCTCATGGCTTTGTGTTGCAGGCTGTGGGGCAGCATGTTGGAGTCAACATTGAAATGGGGCTGCAGTGATGCTGGCAGTGGGGTGATTGAGCGGAGAAGCCCCAAAAGTATGATTAAGTGGGCACAAGATATTGGTCATAACATTAAAATAAAGCTCAACAGCTTTGGCTCTGTCAAAAAAACCTGAGTGTTCCTGCACCTCATTTTCTCGGGGAAAAAAGCACTGCTGAAGTGTAGTATTAAAACAAAAAACAGTAAAAAAGAAATGCTTGTATGCTGGACATGTGGGTTTGGATTAAAGTCTCTTTCTCCTCTCCCCCTTTTCTCTGTCTTTCTCCAGACTAACGACGCTGCAGGGAATATGTGGAACTGGCTTTACTTCATCCCCCTCATCATCATCGGCTCTTTCTTCATGCTCAACTTGGTCCTTGGTGTCCTATCAGGGTAAGGACCCAGTTTCTTTCCCACTAATGATAAGATGGAGAAGGTAGGGAGCTCTCTTATATCGAGTCAGACCACCAGGTCCACCTAGCACAGTATTGCCAGCACAGGCTGGCAGTGACTCTCCAGGGTCTCTTGCAGCCTGACTTGGATATGCCAGAGATTGAACCTGGAAGCTTCTCCATGCAAGGCACACATAGGAAGCTATATTATACCGTAAGACCATCGGTCCATTTTTATTTATTTATTTATTTGCTTATTGGTAATCCACACTTTCCTTAAAAAAACAACACCACACACATCAGGGTGGTGTGCAATTTTTTTTTTATTGCCTGAAGAAAATTATACAGACAGCAAAACGAAGAAGCCTAAATTAACATTGCCTTCTACCGATAAGAAATAATAATAACTATTACAATTATGAAAATACTAAAAATACACTTACTTCCCCTTTTGAACTTCTATTCTGGTTACGAAATATTACTATTCTATAAGAATCTATTATATCATTTGCTGTCCCATATATTATTTTATTTCCCAAATTCAACCTAACCCTCCCCTCCTCCCCACTGCTTCCCTTCACCTGTGTGAGATCTTCCCATCATAATGTTTTTCTAGTTGCTTTAACAAAATAGAATAGCATGAAAACTGTTAAATCATAATTGCTTCTTTTGTCCTTACACGCTTAACAATTGCCTAGTAAGAGTTCTGCTGTGCAACTTACAAAAATAAAATCAGCATAAAAACATCAATAAAAATTGATTGGTTAAAAAAGAGAAATAAAGAAAATATATTGCAAAGGCCTGTCTAAAGAATATATTTTCAAAGGGCATCTGAAAAAAGGGAGGGGTGGTTTGCAGCTTTTTCTGGTTGCAGGTGAACAGGAAGGTTGAAGTGGCGCCAAAGAGGAGCAGGTCCAAAGGGGTCTTTTAAGTGAGCCCACAGCCTTAGGATGTGCTCTATCAAGCCAATACCTGGAACCAACTCAGTTATGCAGGATTCTATTTCTGCTACAGCTCTTTCCAGTTGCATGGTAAATATTTGGAATCAGGTGAAGCCTTTGGAGTTGAAGGCATTATTATTAAAGCTCTCAAGTACCCAGTTGGCCTGGGGGTGGAGGAGGAAAAAGATATAAGGCTGGGAAAATCAAGAGTGGGGTTCAGATTCCCCCCCCTTTTAATGCATGTCGGACAAGTAAATAATACTCAGTTGATTGATCCATTGAGCGTTCGTTGGCACTGAATTGGATCTGTATGTGCCTGCATTTGTGAAAAGAAACCAGAGGATGATCCAAGTGAACTGTGGGGAGGGGGGGAGGCCGCTGGTGCTGTTCTGTAATTCAAGAGTTCACACCGTGCTCCAGTAGCCAGGTTCTGTGGCAGATAGGAATGAATGAATCTGCCTGCTTCCCTTTCTCTCAGTCTCTTGATTTTCCAGACTTTTAGTTTGGTTCACTGCATTTCTGCCTCATTTTGCAATTAAATGAAAAGGTCTTAAGTTTCATCAGCATTTTGGTGCAAACTTCTCTTGTTATACAGAAATTTGTATCCAGTTTTGGGTTTTGTCTAATATGGTGCATTTCTGATCTGTCATTCACTAATGCAGTGGTGGGAAAGCCTTTTCACCCTCTGGATGCTGCTGGACTGCAGCTCCCATCAGCCGTGGCTATTGGCTGTGATGGCTGGGGCTGATGGGAGTTGGAGTTCAATCACAAACTAAACAACTCTGTATGTGGTTTACGAAAATTCATTAAAAATATTGTATGACATTTCAATACCTTATTTTACACGAAATCTTTAATAATATATACAAGTGCCAAAATAATCATGACATGCACAACTCAGTATCTCAAAGCCAAACAGTCCAAATATTCCTGAAATAAGTCTAGGACAGGGGTCTGCAACCCGCGGCTCCGGAGCCGCATGTGGCTCTTTTACACCTTTGCTGCGGCTCCGGGGCAGATACTAGCGAGGGGAGGAGGCACATTGTGCGCCCCAACACTCCCCACTGTGGCGGGTGCTGTACTGGCTGTGACGTCGCATGAGGGCGGTGCGTGCGTTAGTCACGCACCATCCCAACGTCACCTTCCCACCCGCTGTCGCAATGGTTTTGCGGCTCCCAGTTTTTTTTCCTTTCGGAAACGGGTCCAAGTGGCTCTTTTTGTCTTAAAGGTTGCAGACCCCTGGTCTAGGAGAACAACTCTCTGTGTGTATACTTGTGCTGGTTGCGATCCCAACGGAACTCCAGCACATACACATGGGAGATCATCAGCAGCATCTGGAGGGCCAAAGGTTCCCCCACCCCAGGTTAATGTGTGTATCTTTAGTCATGCTTTCCCCTGGTATGTACATTTTTGCATGCATTGTTTGGTTGGAGAACATCATCACAAAACCTGGAGATTTCATGATAGCCATCTTCAGATAGCTAAAGGGCTTTCCCATGGAAGATGGAGCAAGCTTGTTTTTCCTGCTCTGGAGGGTAGAACCTGAAACAATGGATTCAAGTTACAAGAAAGGAGGCTCAGATTAAGCATTAGGAAAAACTTTCTGACAGTAAGAGCTGTTTGACAGTGGAACAGGCTCCCTCGGGAGCTGGTGGACTCTCCTTCTTTGGAGGTTTTTAAGCAGAAGTTGGATGGTCATTTGTCATGGATAGTTCAACTGATATTCCTGCATTGCAGGGGGTTGGACTAGATGACCATTGCGGTCCCTTCTAACTCTACAATACTATGATTCATCTGTGTTAGCCATTTTACACATTATGATACCATTTTGAATAGTCATGGTTGCTCCCCAAAATCCTGGGCAACTGTAGTTTGGTAAGGGTGTTGAAGGTTGTTAGGAAACCTCCTATTTCCTCCCACAGAGACCTACGATTCCCAGCATTTCCTGGGAATGAGGGATTGATTGCTAAACCATTCTGGGAATTGTAGCTACGGATGAACACTTTTTAACAAACTACAGCTCCCAGGTTTCTTTGGGGGAAGCCATGGCTGCTTAAAGTAGAATGATGCTGCTTTAAATGTATAGTGGCAGAGGGGCCTTAGATAGGTTCACATTAAAATCCTAATTGAATCAAATTCATCTTCTATCTCTAGTGGTGACGGTGGCAGAATCTCTAAGTGCCTGAGTGATTGAGCCGGGGCCTGGTCCTTCCTGAGATCAATGCCAGCTATTAGTGACTTCTAGCATCCTGGCTAGCAGGGTCTCTTCTTTCTAGATGCAACCAGGAAGCTGAACTAACCTCTCTTCTTTTCTCAACATGGGTTCGGATATTGTGCATGGGTAACCAGCATGGGGCCCTTCAGGTTTTGGGCCACAGATGCCACATTCCCTGACAGTTGGCCACACTCTCTGGGGATGATTGTAGCTTTAGTTCAACAATGGCTGGCCAGAGGTTCCCCACCCCTGGGAAAGCTGCCCAAAAGACATAGGTGTGGTATGGTTGCACCCAGTCTCAGCTTTTCAGTTCACATTCTTGTACACAGCTATTTTTCATGAAGTGATAAAACTGTCATGATATCTCAGCTTCACACCCTCCTGCAGTCTTTCTACGCACTGAGATGTGTCCTTGATTATTATTATTATTATATATATTATTATATATTATTAATTATTATTATTTATTTATACCCCACCCATCTGGCTGAGTTTCCCCAGCCACTCTGGGCAGTGTTAAATACACTACAGCAGCGGCGTAGCGTGGGTTGTCGGCACCCGGGGCAAGGCAAGTAATTTGCGCCCCCTAACCCGTGGATTTGCGCCCCCTAACCCGTGGATTTGCGCCCCCTAACCTGTGGATTTGCCCTAACCCCAGATGTTGTGCCCGGTGCGGCCGGCCCCCCCTGCACCCCCCACGCTACGCCACTGCACTACAGCATTAAATATTAAAAACTTCCCTAAACAGGGCTGCCTTCAGATGTCTTTTAAAGATAGGATAGCTGCTTATTTCCTTCACATCTGAAGGGAGGGCGTTCCTCGGGGCGGGGGCCACTACCGAGAAGGCCTTCTGCCTGGTTCCCTGTAACCTCACTTCTCGCAATGAGGGAACCACCAGAAGGCCCTCAGTGTTGAATCTCAGTGTTGGACTCTGATAATGCCTCTTGCTTGTCTAGATGGAGGATAGAGTGGTGGCAAGAGAATGTACGGTATTTTTCGCCCTATAGGACGCACTTTCCCCCTCCAAAAACGAAGGGGAAATATGTGTGCGTCCTATGGGGCGAATGCAGGCTTTCGCTGAAGCCTGGAGAGCGAGAGGGGTCGGTGCGCACCGACCCCTCTCGCTCTCCAGGCTTCAGGAAGCTTTCTGCAAGCTGTGGGAGAGCTGCGCGAAGTCCCGCAGCTCTCCCCGGCTTGCCGAGAGCTGCCTGCACCCAGAAGCCTGGGGGGGCACTGAGCTTAGTGCCCCCAGGCTTCGCGCAGCTCTGGGCAAGCGGTGGGAGAGGTGCCCGAAGTCCCCAGGCTTCGGGCTTCGCGCAGCTCTGTGCAAGCTGTGGGAAAGCTGTGCGAAGTTGCGCAGCTCTCCCCGGCTTGCCCAGAGCTGCCTGAACCCAGAAGCCTGGGGGCACTGAGCTCAGCGCCCCCCAGGCTTCGGGCTTCGCGCAGCTCTCCGCAAGCCGTGGGAGCCCGGTGCGACTTTGCGCTGGGCTCCCACGGCTTGCGGAGAGCTGCCTGTTCTGGGGGTTGGGGTCGGGGAAGCTCAGGCTTCCCCCGCCCCAGCCCCGCGCCTGGGGAAAAAATAAATCCCCCCTTTATTTTCCCTTTATTCCCCCCCCCAAATCTAGGTGCGTCCTATGAGCCGGTGCGTCCTATAGGGCGAAAAATATGGTATGTAGAAACTAGCCTACTGCACAGTGCTGAAGTTTACATTCATTGCCCCATTCACTTTTACTTCTGGCCCTGTCCTACCACTGGCATGTGCCCCCCCCCCGCCAACGATTGTCCTGAAAGGAATGCAGCCCTTGAGCTGAATAATGTTCCCCACTCTTACTGTGCATTATTTTC